TATACACACACACACTTCTCGCAGAGGAACATCAATTATTAAGATGCATAATACAAATATTGAAATAGGAAAATGCGACAATATTAATTAGTGTTAATAATAAATACAAAAAGATGAAATGAATTATGAAATGAGAAATTATCCAAGATATTCTAAGAATTCAGATGATGATCAAGATCAACCAATTTTAGAACACCAAGAAATGACCACAATGGATCAAACCATTCAAAAAAAAAGGGATCTCTCGGAATTCTAGCACGGACACAATAAACAGCACCATGCGTCAGTTTGAGGCTACAATGCTATAGTCACAGTGAAAAGTAAACAAAAAATGCCAAAAGATCCATAAAATAATTAGTTCACGATCAAACATATCCTATAAAATGAGGAGATCATCTAGATCAACCAATTTGTAACATCAATCTACAAGTAACAACTGATCCAACAAAAACGGAAATACAAAAGTAAGAAATTAATGGGCTGGATGAATTCCAACATAGAGGCAGCAAATATTAAGATGCATCGTACAAGTAACAGAAAAAAGAGTGAATGATTAATTAATTAATGACCAAACATATTCAAAGAAATTCTAACCAGTTACATAACATTGAGCACCGTTGATAGACCATTAAAATAAGTAAATAAATAAACAACTGTCTGAATTCTAGAGCTGAGAGACAAGAAAACTTAAGATGAATAATACAAATATTGCAGAATATGACTGAAAATATACAATCACATTGAATAATCAACCAAAAAATGCAAAAAAGTAATCAATCTACTTAGAGCAATTGATTAACCATAGGAAAAAAAAGTAAGGAATTAAAGAGCCAGCTGAGTTCCAGCACAGAGCTATAAATATTAAGATGCATAATACAAGCACTGCAAAATTCACTTGAGAACCGTAAAGATACAAATACAGTGGCTAATCTACCAAAGCGAATCCACAAAAACTTCAAAGAAACACAATGGCAAAAAATAGTTAAAGAAATTTTGGAGATGATCAAGATTAACCAATTGCTTGGTATCAATAGACTGAGAACAGTCAAATTCGATCACAAAAAGATAAACAAAAAAGAAATTCAAGAGAAAGAACCTAAACGAAACAAAACAGAAACCCTAGCTGGAGACTGAAAACGCAATGCTCTTCTCATCCGCGGGGGCCGGGGGGAGGGGGCGAGAGAGGACCATTTGAAAAACGAAATTGGGGCAGTTAGCATATATATGGAGGGAAAATGAGAGAGAGAGAGAGAGAGAGAGAGAGAGAGAGAGATTGCTTGTATAAGGCCGAGGCCCAAAACAATCCAAGTAAGGCACATCTTTGACCTCTAATTATAAAATTTAAAACTTGAAAAATAGTGTATATCACACGTATCTATGAACACTTAAACATTTTGAAAATTGACTGTCCAAAAATGCATTACAAGATGCAATATTTTAGAGACTTGAAATCTATTTTTTCACGTGTCTATATATCTTGAGGTTGAGATAATCAAATTGAGAATTTTTGGGTATCAAAACAACTTCTTTTAGTGAATTTTTGAGGTGTGCCTTAATTTAATTGTTTAGGGCTTCGCCTTTATATAAACTTTTTCCAGCATTAAAATGTAGAATTAAGGTGTACCTTAAAATCTATCATAAGAGTTGTATGGATGTCGGAAAATCCTGCAATTGATTATCTCGACATCAAGATGTATGAATCATCATCATCATCATTTTAGCCTTTTCGCAATTAATTGAGGTCAGCTACATGAATTCCGATTTTCATTATGCTATAATAAAGGTCATATCTTTGGTAAGGTCATAAGTCCCTGTATATTTTGAACTACTTCCAACTATGTCTTTTTAGGCCTATCCCTTGCCATTTTCAATCCTTTCATTTGAAATAATTTGCACCTTCTAATAGGTGTTGTACTTTATCGACGCCACACAAGGCAAACCCACCTAAGTTTACTCTTTTTCAATTGATCGCCTATTGGTGCTACACCTAAATTCTATCGAGTAGATTCATTGCAAATTCTATTCATTCTTGTCTTGTCACTCATCCATTTCAATTTCCTTATCTTTGTTACACTCATTCTATGGGTATATTGTTTTCTATCCGCCCAATATAGAACACCTTGTCTTTATTCTAAGATGCTTTTTGGGGCTTCACTTATTCAAGGCGGTTTTTTTATTCTATATTTTCTGCACAAATTTTTCTATTATTTTTTTATTACTATTTCTTTTTTTGTTTGGTTCCGGTAGTTCCAAAATTAAAATCCATGAGGCTTTGATTTGTCTCATTAAGTGTTTGACATAGTTCCTCAATCTCAAATCTGAGCTCGCACCTCAGATCTGATGTCACCATAGCCTCTTTGCTTAACCTATTTGCATCTATGCCTTAGATTAGTATAAAAAAAAAATTATGCTTTCTTATGCTCAAATCAAAGCCTCAGATTTGCGCACTCAGTTGGTGGTTTGCTGTTGTTGTTTCCCTCTTTGAATACCCAAGTTCGATGTTCATCAATTTGTATAACCCATGAATTTTTATTCTGTTATGTTTTTTATTCAGTTTGCTGTCTGAGAAGGGCAGCTTACCTTAACTGATAAAATTTGGGATCGAATTTTGCTTGGGTTTGCTTTCATTTCACAGTCTTATATTTTTCTCTCTATTTGCATAATTATTTTCCAAATGATAACCAGAACTTGAGCCTCTGTACAATGATTATCGGAAATTGAGGCGTAAAATCAGCCGATGGAAGTTTTATGCTGATTCGTGTGGATGAATTCATAGATGAACTATTAACGAAGGATCATTCTTGTGACATTGCACTATTACCTGTTCCTAAGAGATGGACTTTTGAATTAGAGGGCAGTTAGAACCTAGAAGAAGTGCATTAGAAGATGACTTTGAAGAGAAAGAAGACCAAGCCATGGAAGCATTTGAAAATGGGGCACATGAAAAAGGATTCCTATCATGCATGGAAGGAGTATTGGAAGGGAAAGAGATAGGGACAGGAGGAGTGATAGTCATAAGCACAGGGAGCGGGATTATGACCGTGATTGGGACTAAGACCGTGGTAGAGGAAGAGATAAAGATGGAGAAAGAGAGCGAGACTGGTATCATCGTGATCGCTTCGGTTCCGTTGTAATGCCTGTGCATCCCTCCCATCAGGCCACTCGTCCATTGTGTCTTCTGATGATAACTACTAGCAGTTGATGTTTGTGCCATTTTGGAGAGGACAGCAGTTGACAGTGCAGGTCATCTATGAGATTAGAAGAATCGGTAAATTGTTAAGTTGTCAGGTTACCATTTGGTATTTCGTCTCTCTTGAGCCTATGTTTCCAGTTTTTTACAGTTTTTCACCTCTCAAGCATTTGAGCCTATGTTTCCAGTTTTTCTGATTGGTGAAGCCCTCAACCTGATTGCGCCTCTTTGTTCATTTGACATCGTAACCCAGGTAAATCATTGTTGTCTTGCTTCCCTCCAATGACGGACTATTGGTGAGCTAGATCTAAAAGGTGACTTTAAATCCACTTTTGAAAATGGTCTTAAAAAGTAGTCGATCTGCAAAATAGCTATCGAGTCGTGTTTTGACTTGTTGAGCTGTCTCTCTGCCAAGTTGTGTTTCGATTCGCTGATATGTCTCTCGGCTGAGTCGTGTTTGACTCTCTGATCTGTTTCTTTGCCGAGTAGTGTTTCGACTCTCTGATCTGCTTTGGATCTTACTATTATCATATCTGAATCTAAGGTCCAACTGTGCTTGTTGATCCGCCGTTGATTTCTGTTAGCTCTTCCAAATGCCTCTTGTTTGATGATCGCATTTTTCGATGCTAGTAGATGATCAAGTTTTCTATTACTTGATCACGTTTAATGATTGAGTTTTCTATTACTCAATCATATTGGATAATGGGGTTTTTCGTTACTTCATCATGTGTGATGATCAAATTTACTCAATCATGTCTATCTCGGATTCATGGATGCATGTTGGTTTGTTGTTATGCGAGATTGCTCCGTTCGAGATGTCGGTTTCTACAATTTGCTAAGTTGTAATTGCTCTCTCTTAACTCATATTGAGTTTGAGGGGGAGTGTGGAAATATAGAAACCTACACTTATTTTTTGGAACAATATTTTCATTCATTTTATGTGTTTCCATATTAAGAAGGTGGTTCATTTCATATGTTACTTTATTTAATAGTGCATAACTTTGTAACCTTATAAATTGGGGCTCTTGTTTATATCTTGTTCACAACTTTGATAAGCTTTGAAATAATCTTTTATGGGCGCCTAAGTCCCAAATACATAAATACAATTTCTCAAACTTATAAACATCCCTTAGAGGGTGAGGTCTATATAAGGCCCCCTTCTTATACTATAGAAGAATGGCGTCTAAGTTATCGCCCTACGAGTAATGTGTTATGACTGTTGTTATGTTATCGCCCTACGAGTGTTGTGTTATGTTATTGCCCTACAAGTGACGTGTTATGACTGTTGTTATGTTATCGCCCTACGAGTGTTGTGTTATGTTATCGCCCTACGAGTGACGTGTTATGACTGTTGTTATGTTATTGCCCTACAAGTGTTGTGTTATGTCGACGGTTGACAGCGCACACAACAAATATGCCACCCAATTTTTAAAAGAATTTTAGAGCTTACCCCTACGGATGTTATGTTATCGCCGTACGAGTGACAGTTATGATTGTTGTTATGTTACGCCCTACGAGTGACGTGTTATGACGATGGTTGAAAATGTACACAACAAATATGCCCCCCAATTTTAAAAAAAATTTTAGAGCTTACCCCTACCGGTTGAAATTGCCCGTGTCATTGTTGCGACCCTCCAAATCACTGTAGCGAATCGTCGAGTTATCGCTACGAATCGACGGTTCACCTCTAGACACGCCTGATTTCCAGTATCACTGTAGCGAACGTCGAGTTATCGCTACGAATCGGCGGTTCGCGGTTCACCGCTAGACACGCCCGATTTCCTGTTATAAGCGAGAATCGGTACGGGATGATCAATTCCTGGGTTGAATCAGCCGATTCCATGCCGACTCGACGATATTTAAGCCATTGATTTTAACATATTTCATTTGCAATGGCATGAAGAAGATGGATCAATAAATCCTTTTATGATTTTACTACTTCAAGCAATACGGGTGGCCATGGGAGTTCGGTTGGGAGAGTTGCAGAGAAGAAGGACTAGGGGTACTTTTTTTAGAAATGAGGAGAGATGAGAGGAAGACCGGTTCTGCAGGTCATCGGTTTGCCTTTATTGATACTTGGGGCAAATCTGCACCGTCCCATTACAATGGCGGTGTGGATTTCAAAGCCCGTACTATAACAAATGCGGGCCTTCCCACACCAAACAATTTTCTAAAAGTAAATGGTATCTTTATATACTTTTCTAAAGAAACCAAATTGATATTCATAAGGTAATTAGGATCCAACAAGTGAGTGGTGACAAAATAAAAGGGAAATTTACAAAAACCCCCCAGAATATACTATTCATTCAACCTATCCTCGCCCAAACTTTTTCTCACACTTTTTTCCCCTCAACAACATTTTCTCGAAAAAACCCCCCCAAAATAAAAAGTTGTCATTTTTTGGACAGAAATACCCTTACCGCACAATAAAAATTCAATTGGCGGTCCCAAGTTGCCTATTACTGAGGTGAAGAACAACAACGTCCCACCGCTTTGAAATGATTGTCGGATCGTAATAGTCACTGTCGAAGCGAGATCAAACAATGCTGGTGCACGCTGCCACACCGCCGGAGCGATGTGCTCCAAAAGGGTATTGCTGAAACGCAAAATGTATCGCCGAAGCGACGTACTAAACTGCCATATGGAAATGGCTTACTGTAGGAGGGGTTGATCTGACTACCGGAGTGCTTTGGCTCCAAAAGCTTGTTTGTCGGAGCGTGTTTCTATAGTGTCAAAGCGTGTGGGAAAAGCTTCGGGTACATAAAGAAGGGGTACAAAGACAAAAGGCTATTTTGGACCTTTTTTACTTGTTTTTGAGTTGGGGGGGATTTTTGCGAAGATAATTTGTTGAAGGGAAAAACATGAGAGAAAAGTCAGAAGGGATACGTTGAGTGAATAGTATATTCTGGAGGGTTTTTGTAATTTTTCTAAAATAAAAGCTTGTCCCATCAGGTACATGTGGTGTTTAGCAATAGTCAAAGTACTGTACAGAACCTTAATAACGAGGAGAATGATTTCATGCAACGGTTGTATAGTAGTATAATGCAATCATCTTAAAAAACTATGTTAGAGATATTTTTTTGACGCAAATTTTTAAATGTACACTCTTTTCATTTTGAAAAACAATCACAAAAAAGGAAATTTTGAAAATATGCTCTAGAAAATTTTCATTTTAACCCAATTAATATAAGCCGTCCATTTTATTAAGATGGTTAGATATAGGTCTCAAAAGGATTTTTTTTATTTCCAAAGTTTTTATATAGCGTTATCATCATTAGATTAATAATGCTAAAAAATAAAAAGTGATTTTAAATTTGTGAAGGTCTAGATCTTGAAATTCACTTAATGGATGGCTGAGATTCATTCTTGGATAGATACTAATTTTGACCACATCTAAAGTGCAAATTGAACCATAGGGTTGATTATGAGGATGAAAAGAACATGTGTGCAAAAATTGGAGTCATACAATTGCCAAAAATATGGTTTTCTAGATGTGTGGTTGCATTATACTACTATACAACCGTTGCATTGGATCATTTCCCTAATAATAACGAGTAATGATCTAATGCAACTGTTGTATCATAGTATAATGCAACGACACTTTTAAAAAACTATGTTTGTGGTATTTGTATGACCCCAAAATTTCCACACACAATCTCTTCATCTCAATAATCAATCCAAAAAAAAAAAGAAGTTCAATTTGAACTCTAGATATGGTCAAAATGAGTCCCCACCAAAGATGAATCTAGACCATTCATTTTGTGAATTTCAAGATCTTAGCTTTTATGAACTTAAATCATTTTTTTATTTTTTTAACATTGTTCATCTAATGATAATAAAGCCATTCAAAACAATTGGAAGTAAAAAAATCCTTTTAAGGCCTAGATCTAAGCATCCCACTAAAATGAATGGCCTATGTTAATTGAGCTAAAAAAATACTTTCTAAGTTGTGTTTTCAAAATTTTCTTTTTATGATTTTTCATTAGAATGAAAAGAATGTATATTTTAAAATTTGGATCAAACAAATGATCATATGATGATTTTTTAAAGTTGTATCATATTACTATAAAACAGTTGCATGAAATCATTGCTCAATAATAATATTAATAAAAACCCAATCTAAGTTAAGTGATTCCTTGGTACTTCCTCTTTCCTTTACTTTTTGATTCATAAAACATTATCTCTTTGGATTCATATAACATTATCAATTTGGGGTTCAACTGATTTAGATTTTGTCTTTATATAAGGTGAAAGTTTGGCGATGTAGGCATATGAAGAAAAAACACCATAGGCATTCCCATTCTATCAAGAATCAATCATGAGCTGAAAACAATTTAAGAGAGTTGAGGTGTGTTCTAGAGAGATAGATGTCTTGAGAGAGAGAGATGTCTTGAGAGAGGGAAAGAGAGAGAAATGTCCGTGTAGAGAGAGAAACGGAAGACTGCTGAGGCGTATGGATAATTGGTCTTTAGGTTTCTATAAGGCTTAGGCTTCATTATTTTTATAAAGCCTCACCTCAAATCCTCGTCCAAAAAATACTTTCGGTGACGTAAATCTTTAAACTTGAATGCTTGTACAAATCTTTTTATCTTTTAACTATCTTATGTTTTTAAGAGGTACAGTACTCAAATACACACACAAACAGAGCATATATATCTTCATCATGTTCGTGCTACGCTAGTGGCTCTTTGCAGTGAAATGGGACAAGGTTTGTTTAGACAAGTGTTTGCAGGTTTTAATATATGTTTTCTTCTAAGGCTCTGGTTTTTAGTGACGAAGAATGAGGCTTATTCAAATTTGGGGTCTTTTATTGGACCCAGTTTCTATGTGGCTAAGCCTGCATATGTAGAAATGGGGGCCTCTTAATACATCTATTTTGAGATGTATTTTAAAACTTCATTTTTAAGGATATATAATCTCTAACATGGAGATCATAAATATGAATATATAAATAAATTTTAAAAATTAAAAATAATAATTCTAATAAGAAAACATTTGGACCGTTGGTTTCAATTGTTTTTAGATGGAACACATACTTGCATCCATCTTTAAGAAGAATGCTTTACACTTTCTAGACTGCATATATAGAAATGCGGTCCAGACCGTATGAAACAATTTTTCTTATTGTATCATAATGTTTTGAACCATGGCTTTCTGACTCTCTCCATATTTTTTTTGCAGGCTCCCTCTATTATGAGGGCTAAAGACCGTAATGACCTGTCAATGAAAGTACATATACACTACGCTACAAGCTTCTTGAAATAGGAAGACATGCCACTAAACAAAAGAATGTAACATTTCTAAACAGCACAATGAAGTTCAGAAAGTGAAAATGAGACCAGCAATTCAGAGAGAGCATCAAAGTAGCAAAATTGTTACGATGGTAGAGAGAAAGAAGCATCAAGTAGCCAAAATTGTTACAATGATAAAGAGCACATAGAAGTACGTCTCAAAAGTGAAATGAAGACTAACCATCGACATTGTCAACTTTAGTATTAAGGGTAAGAAACACCTCATTACTGATGTTGCAAGGTTCCGCCATCATAAAACTGTTTGAAACAGGCTTGATAACCTTGATTCCGAGCATGGTTATCGAGTCAATATGGCATGCAGTGAAACGATTGCCCCACATTAGGCTGTTCATGGCGGGAGCCACAAAGAGAGGCTTCTTGTTGTAGTCCCATCCACTCACCACACTAGTCAGCAAGTTATCACAGAGCCCCATCGCGATCTAGAGAGAGAAATTCTCAGGTTAAAAGCTTGTTTTGTTCCTAGGAAACAAAATTCTAAATAAAACAAACAACAAAGTGCCAAGCTAAAATAATGTAAGACTGCAGAAGTAATTAATAAGCTCTAATGACTGGAACAATGACAAGCTGAAATTGAATAGACACACCTATATTGTAACTTGTATTCTCTATCTCTCTCATGGTCTCTTTAGGAGAATGGTGAAGCCTAAACATTAGGAATGGAGAAGAAACCACTGTAACTGACAAAGCTAGGAAGTTGTTTTCTTTCACCAACTTCACGACAAATTAAGAGATTAGCATACATTATTCAAATAAGGGGAACTAGCAATAATTCAGAGAAAAATTAAAGCAAGGTGAGAAACAGAGGACTAAACAGAGCAGAATTTACAGTCATTCGCTTCCTAACAGAGCAGAAAAGAATCGATCATTCGGGGCCAGCACATGTTAGTACCAGGCCAATGGTTTGACCACTGCGAAGTTATGGCTCTAACTAACGACTTAACAGTCCTGGTTTTTCTGCGAAGAATTTAACCTCCAACCTTTTGAATATTTATCCTTATGATTAAACTGATAACATGGGACAAAAGAGTGCATAGACAATCAAAGCTGCCGAATGCCAATTGAGGCCCTGTAAAAATAGCGGATCTTGTCATGTTTATTTACAAAACAGCTTTGGTCACTCTTTGAATAATTCTTGAAACTGAAGAAGAGGCTTTAAGAAGTGGCTGACTGTTAGTTTCTTGTATTTCAACTACAAAGCTGTGGTATCTTTTCATAGCCAGCTTGCAAAAGATCAAAAGACTCTTATATGCTCCTCCATCCATATTGAATGCACTTACATAGGGAGAAGGTATTTATAGAAATTATCTTAGTTTTTAGCTCAAACTCGCTAGCAGCATTTACAAACTTGGCAGAGTCGACTCAGACTTGGCCCTTGCTAGCCAGAGTATTAAGGTACAACTCAGGTTGATTTAAAAAAGAAAAAGTAAAAAATATAAAAATTACTAAATGGTGGAATCAATGTATAAATATTTTGCATGTAATTTGGGAGTTGGGACAATGATTTGTGACTTTTTCTTGTCCTATGCCTTCCTTTTTTATTTTCCTCTTTTTTTTGGAATTTTTTTAAAATATCTTCAACTGTAAATCATTTTTTCTATACCCATGTTTTATACATTTTCAGCTTATTTGGATTTTTTATGTTGTTTTTTGTTTAGTTATTAACTACATTTTTCAGCTTATTTGGACTCACACTACTTGGGTGAGTCCACCACAGTATATAGCTTGCCAGGGCCGAGCCCGAGGACCGAGCCGAGTTAAACATTGCTTGCTAGAATGATTAACTGCTACCTTGTATCCCCTACCCCAGAAAAGCTAAAGACCAAAGAGCTATTAAATGCCCCTTGAAACTTTGCCAATAAGATTATCTCCAAGGTCCTTGCTAATTGCCTCTGGCCCTCTTCTTTCATCTGAACATAGGGCTTTTGCTAAAAGGCCAAGCAATTAGGAGAACTCTTGTCTAGGCTATAGAGCTACCTGGTGGAGGAAAACAAAGGTCTGAAGATTAGGCGAAAAGTATTGTGATCATATTGAATATAGTAACACTAGTAACAAATTACCTTGCCAAGTGTGTTGGCCGACAATGGAGCAATAACCATAGCATCTGCCCACTGGCGAAGCTCAATGTGACACACTTTGTCCCCTAGCTTATTCCACTCTTTCCATTCCTCGTCATCTGTATAGAGAGCTACATGACTAGGAATCCGTGCTCTGTCAATGAAGCGCATAGCATGCTTGGTAGTCACGGCCCTGACTTCAGCCCAATCACAAAAAGAGTGACAAAGAATTAAAAATTGGATTGCAACTGCACATCCACTTGCAGCCAAGAGAACCCGTGGTTTAGGTAACTCAGTACCACTTTGTTGAGACTTTGCTGTCACGTTAGTTCTACTCTGAGTTTGCAATGTCACCTGTCAAAAGCAACAATTCTATGAGAAAATGAGCACTGAAGGGCTAGCACATGAACCACATGGGCAAAACATAATATGGTAGGGTTATCTGTTCCAAAATGGGAACATGCATAACACTATTCTTGTGCTCATCAAAATAATAGAATCCGTCCACCCCAGAAAATTTTCTTAGCCCAGGTGTGGTGTATGTGTGTTTCAGCTGCATCTATAATTGATCGACATAATTGCACATCATCAGGAATTTATTCTCTTCATCTATGCTTATGTCCTTTTCCTAGTGTGCTTTCAATACGCATTGTATGAACATAGGGTCAGACCAATCAAGGACACCACATCCATATTTCCATATATCAAATTGGGAAAATATAGAATAAAATATGATCCATATTGTCATAGTAACGATGATGACATGGTCGTTTATCACCTTCCAATCAATAGGTTGGACAGTAATCAAGAGAGTGGGGACTTCGGTTGGATGGAGATGGAGATCGGAGCGGAAGTGGGGATTGGCGATTTATTGATTGAATTGTACAATGAGACGCACTCCCTCCATCACCATCCAACCCATTGATGGGATGGTGATAACCTCCTAGTTATGGGATAATGATGACTGTATGGATCGTATTATATGGAACCTTTAAAATATATCCGGTCTATACTTAACACAATACTCGGTGACAGTAAAACAGGCTCATGGGTGCTAGTTTAACTCTGGCCAATAAATTGAATTGCTAGTTTGTAGCCAGTTTCGGTTTTTTGAACAAACGGTTAAAATATGTTATGTGCATATATATTGATATATAATGGAATGATGCTTATTCTGAGAAAATTCCCAGTTGGACACCATTAAGCAGCCTATGCTAGGTCAAATGCCATGGCATTACACTTAAAACGTTTAAATGGCAACAACTACAAATATATGCATACATAGTTACAAATAACTATCAGAGCCTTTTCCCAACTATTTGGATAGATCCTAGTCTGTCATTCTGCTCTATCAAGGGTCATACGCTTTGTGAGACCCTCAGTCCTCATATATTTTCTCACTATTAGCAACCATATCCTTTTGGCCTTGCCCCTTGCCCTTTTTTAGCCTTCCACTTGAACCAACTCGCATCTCCGAACAAATGTTGTACTAGATCCATGCTCCACATGGCCAGCCCACTTAAGTTTTCTCTCTCATCTTATTGCCTACATACATCTGAGCTAGAATATCTCCATCCTCCAGTTGCATATAACAGTAAAAGCATATCCCAGTTGGTGACTTCTACTTAACAGAGGGAACATGACCATATCAATACCACCCAAAAGCCACTAATGAGTATATTGCAAGCACCTTTATGAATATAGAAGACAAGAAGGTGGAAATCAAATACTGATTTATACAAAAACTTAATACAGTAATTGTGCACCAAGGATAAATGTTTCAATTGAACTAAATTACTATTAGTAATTAATATGCGTTTTGCAGTTCACATAACTATAGGTTATTACTTATTTAGTAAGCAACGTTAAAATAAGCAAACTACAAAGGGAAGAGAATACAAAAGTCAAGCACAAATGAAAAAGCTGAATGCACTGTATTCATGTACAAAACAAGCTAACTTGAGAGCGTAAACAAATGAGCATCACAATCCTCTGGGAAAAGCAGGAAACACAATCCTGGTTTTTGTGCTAAATAAACAATAATAAACTTATGAACAAAGAATAACCATCAGTTGTAGAGTACCTTAACAAGAATAATAGAAGGGCAATAATTGCTTATTTGAATGTTTTGTAAGAGTGGTATTTTACCACCATATTATCTTGATATGTTAAAAGCAACACAGAGATTAATCATGCACAAAGTCTCAAATCTGTAGACAAGCCCACTCTCAGGATAAACAGAAATAACATCCCTATCCTCATGCCTTGTAGTGATAGACTCCAAATCCATCTTTTCCCCATGTATTCCTTCAAATGAACCAACTACCTAATGGTGCATGTCTTCCTACTGACTAGCTAATGGAAATTGTTGGAGGCAGCTCAACTAGCCACCCTTTAGGCCCTATATTGATGCCTTTTTGCAATGCGCTCATTCCGCAAAGTCTCTTGTGTCAAGAAACCAACATAAAGTGGCGATCTTCCCCCATTTACAACATATGGGTCTTTCATCTCACTCATGAATGGCCCATAATTACTTACCAAAATGACAAGGAAACACTTTTGAAAATGAGAACAGGCAGAATCCACAACTGCCAAGTTATCACCATGAAGGTATTAGTTTTGGGGTGAGAACAGCACCCATTTGAAAGGTTTCTGCAACTAGGTACCAATCAGTTTGATTGGACCAATCCACCAGAAACCACAACTCTTACAATGATAACTTAACTATGCTAATGATTTGCATGGGTTTATGAAGTTTACACAATTGCAATCACAACCCTTTTCTCAATCACATTTGGTGATCTGGAGATGCTCTTGCCAAACTCAGTGTTCAAAACAACATATCGGGCTGATTAGTCGATCCTGACCCGATCCGATTAGTCCAACTGCTTCCGACTAGATCGGCCGATTAGTGCCCCGATTTTTTCTGAAAAATGCTATTTTGGTAAAAAATTTCAAAAAACTCAAAAAATCCTAAAAAAAATGTAAAAACTGTTTAAAATTTACATGTATTGGTTTTTATATTGTCACATAAAAAAAGTAAAAAAATAACTATTATAAGCATAATTGGGTTTCAGAGAAAATGATTAGGCACCTGAAGCAAACTTTTTCAGTGATCTATATATTTAATATATATTAATATTATATATTATATATAGCATGTAATCAATAAAAACTATATAACATAAATATAAAATATAATATGATATAATATTATAAAATAATATAATATTTCATCTCAAGACCATTTTTTTTTTTGGGTATTTTGAAATTCAATTAAAAATGGGTGTGGTTTGTATAAGGTTGCAACCTTAAACGATCCAATTAAGGCGCACCTCCAAATTTTATCATAACATGTAATTTGGTGTAAAAAATTCTTAGGATTATCTAAAAATCCATTTTCATCTCTAATTATAAAATTTTAAACTCCAAAAATGGTAAAATCAAGTAGATATATAAGCATATGAAAATCTTGAAAATGGACGGTCTAGATAATATGTTGCAACATGCACTATTTATGGAACTCAAAATATTTTTTTTTTTTTTTGTCATATTCATACATCGAGATGATCAATTAGAGGGTTTTTCAACATTTAAACAACCTTTTTTGATGGATTTTTTAGGTGCATCTTTAATTCTACGTTTTAATGTTGCAACCTTATATATAAACTTTTTCCATTTAAAATATAAGTAAAATATAAAATTGTTCATCTCTTTGTGACAATTTTGATAAATTTCCCCACACACTCTCTCTCTCTCTCTCTCTCATATCTGTGTCTATCTGTATGTCTATGTGCCCGTCAGGGGGTTGGTCGTGCAGCTATTAGATTGAAGATCAAATCAGATGAACGACGAAATAAATTTTATATCCCCCCCGAGTTGAGGGATTTACGGGCTTGGCACCTTGTCACGCCCGATCAACTGTACTACGTCTGAGTCTATTCGCCCAACACGGCAAACCCTGCCGTTAGCAAATAAAAAATTTGTAATAATATATAAAGTTTTAAGTAGAGAAATAGAAGAATAGGGAAAAGAAAAAAAAGGGCGAAAGATACAAAACAATGTTATAAGGACAGCTTTGCAGACTCTGCACTGTGACAGTGCACTTGTTGGCCGATTTTAAGAACAAATCACCGCTTAGTGCACTAATTGGCCGATTAGTGCTCATTATTGTCGACTAGTGCTCATTAGTACTGATTAGTCGGCAGAGTAGTGCACTGAAAAAATTCCTGCATATATGACTGTTGGAATCGAGCCAGATCAGGATTGGCTAGTGACCGATCCCGAGTTAGTCGGCCGATATTTTTTAAAATTGGCCGATCTTTTAAACATTGGCCAAACTCATATTCGTACAGCATTTACGGGTCCAACATTGAGTAATTTTTGGTAAATAGCCTTTTTTTTTAATTATAATACATGCATTCATCAGGTAACTAATGCTAGCAGCCATGTATTAACACACTGCAAGCTCTTATTACCATGATGAAGCTGTTTGATCGTGGGTGCTGGTTTTCAACTTTGAATAATTGTGACCAGTCAGCACAGACGCTTCACTAAGTGAAAGGAGTAGCTTGGCTTGATGAGGAATGTTTTGAATACAACATATTTTAAATCACATTTTTCTAAAGAATTGTATACTATGAGATCATTTATCATTGATAAAATGAAGTCATAAGTAGTTCTAGACATTAGATGTCAAATTGGAAGTCTTGCGGTGTGTCACAAAGTTTGAGAAATTTTCTTGTGGTGTGTCACAAATTCTCTTTGTATACTTTTCGTTTTTCTAATTTGCTTGGACAATTATAGGGTACTTTGGAGACAAATTATCAAAGAGCAGAAGATACTCTACAAGACAGTCAACAACTAACTTGTCCGATTGAATGATAAACTAACTTATAACAAGAAGTTAGAATTGGAATTGGACTAAGAGATACAGAGCACTCGATCAGCACTAGTCTCAAGCTTTCAACGAAACGGGGAGACACAACATGTGAATTCGCGAAATTGGGATTTTACTATCTGGTATTCATCAAGTTCTGGGTAAAGGAATCCCAATTGTTACAAATTTGAAATTATTCCTACAGTAGGATATCCACCATCCCACTCACACTCAGTGGGTATGGTACTCAAAAACATAAGAGATACCAAAACAAGAAGAGGGGGGTCCACTGCACTTTTTTAATTTCATGCTCAAGTGTTCTGTCTGAGTAGCCTATAGAGGCAATAAAAGCCATAAATAGACAGAGAGAGGTCTTGTTGGACAAATCTTGAAGATCAATACAATAAAAGAACAAAAACAGACCTGTCTTCCAGGGAATCCAACACATCAGATCTGAGTTTCAAGCTATTAAAAC